TGACAGAGCAAGAAAGAAGTGCAGATAAAACTCCCATTCTACTGAATACCTCTTTATCCTGTAGCAATGAATACCAGTAAAGGCCTAATTCTGGGCCTTTATCAAGAAGCAAAGGGATTAGGAATCCAGCCTTTATCTAGCATCCTAAATTTGATCCCAGAATAATCCATGATGGAGCCTATAATAGGCTATTGTTGGTGTAACCATCTATAGTAACTTTTGAATTCCAAACGTATCCACAAACACCTGAGCAGAACATCCTCTTTTGCTCCATAAGGAACACACTGAACCAGTTTATTAGCTTTGTAGTCTGATGACAACTAGAGTGTGGCTTAATTAGTAGGCTTGCTTTAGTGATGTTAGAAAAACTTTCTCTCTACTTTCGTCCATGTTATAGAAAGCTAACAGAATTTCTGCTTATTTGTAAGACCCAAAGTGAAAAAGTGTGAGGAAAAAAATCCTAGCTGGAATTAGAGTAGAGCTATTGAGAGTGTTTGTCCACATAAAAGAGCCAAGGGTGAAACCTCTCTTCTCCAATCAACACTGACTAGAATCAGCCCTGAAGGAAGGAGGTGAAAGGGCGTTGGTACTTACCTGACACGCCCGTTCTCTTTGAGCTGTGAAGAGCATCCAGTAGTGGGAGGTGCTTCAGTCTCTGCATGTCTAGGCTGGGCTTAATTTGTGGAACGCTCCTCCTCCTCCTCCATAGGACTCCTCCCCAGAGTTCCCCAGTTTTGGCGAAGACAAGAGAAATAAACACCCTCGTCCTCAATGCCCTAACAATTCATTGGCTGAAACAGGACCCCACCAGACGGAAAAAGGGTGGGGCTGGATGCTCTTCACAGCTCAAAGAGAACGGGCGTTTCTCCCATGAGCTGTTCAGAGCATCCAGTAGTGAGACATACCAAAGCTTGGCCAGTACTACGGGAGGGACTCCGTCTGGCCTGGAATCCCCTCCTGGTCCCTGTGGACCCATTGCAGAACTCTTCTGCCAAAGGAGGCCTCAGTGGATGCAAATACATCTATTTTATAATGCCTAATGAATGGCGATGGAGAGGCCCAGGTTGCAGCTTGACAAATTTCAGTTATTGGTGCCTGTGTGGGCCACGCTGCTGAAGTTGCGGCGCTCCTTGTTGAATGAGTTGTTATGCCCCTGCGCACCTGCAGTGATTGAGACTGATACGTTTTCGCTATCGCGGCCCGTAGCCAATGGCCTATTGTAGAAGGCGAGACCTTGCATCCCTGAGTGTTGGGCTGAAACGACACAAATAAGGCTTCCATTTTTCTGAAAGCCACTGTGCGGTTAATATATATTCGCGATGCTCGCCTCACATCAAGCCTATGCCATTGTAGTTCCAACCCTTGGGATGGTCTGGGACAAAAATTAGGAAGTATCAGCTCTTGTGCCCTATGAAAAACCGGGTTAATTTTGGGTATAAACGTAGGATCAGGCCGAAGGACCACCCGGTCAGAATGGAAAACACAAAGATCTTGTCTGATAGACAAAGCTGCAATCTCCGAAATACAACGAGCAGAAATGATCGCTACAAGGAAAACTACGTCAGAAATTGGAGACTTGACGATTTCAAGGGTTTGAAAGGGCCCTTAGTGAGTGCGACGAGGACCTTGTTAAAGTCCCAGGTGGGATAACAGTGTACCGCTGGAGGGCGTAAATTTGTGGCTCCTCGAAGGAAACTTTGTATGTGTGGATGATGGGAAAGAGATAATAGGCCTTCACAAGGGAGAACTGACACCAAGGCCGCCACCTGTCTTTTCAACGTATTAGGCGATAATCCCTTGTCAAGTCCCTCTTGCAAGAACTCTAGGATTTGAGCCACAGATGGAGAGATGGGATCAATTCGAGACTTGGTACACCATTTGTAGAAACTGGGACCATGTGGCATTGTAAATGCGAGTTGTTGAGGGGCGTCTGGTGGCTTGGATAGTGGAGATAACTCTGTTGGAAAACTTTTCGCTCTTCAGACGATTCTGCTCAACCTCCAGATGGTCAGGTGCAACCATTGAGGGTCCGGATGTTGAAGGGGTCCCTGGGTTAGCGAGACGCTGGCTGGCAGAATTCTCCATGGTGTTGATACAGATAGACTGCGGAGGTCTGCAAACCACGGCCGTCTGGGCCAGTAAGGAGCTACTAAAAGCAGCTCCGCCCTCTCATCTAGCAGTTTCTGGATGACCTTGGGAAGCAGTGGAAGTGGCGGGAATGCATACAGAAGTCCCGGGGGCCAACGACAGCGGAGCAAATTGAAGTTCTCCGCTCCTTGCGAGGGGTACCTGGAAAAAAATCTCGGGAGCTGAGCGTTGAGGGGGGAAGCGAACAGGTCCACCACCGGCTGTCCAAATGTCCTGACTGCCTCTTGAAACAGGGTCGGATGGAGGCGCCACTCCGATTGATCGATCATGGCCCTGCTCAGCCAGTCTGCCTATGTATTCGACAGGCCCGAAATGTGCTCTGCTTTGATGGAAAGTAGGTTGCTCTCCGCCCAACGACATAAGCGTTCCGCTTCCCACATGAGATGTTTTGACTGTGTGCCCCCGTTTGTTTATGTGAGCTTTGGCTGTTACGTTGTTGGTCAATATTAGTATGTGCTGATTGTGTACCTGTGGAAGGAAGCTGCGGAGAGCCAGGTGTACTGCTCGAAGCTCCAGCCAGTTTATGCTGCACGACTGTTCTATGACGGACCAGCGGCCTTGGGTTATGAGCGATTGAACATGAGCTCCCCATCCAAACAGGCTGGCATCGGTGGTGATGGTAAGTCTCTGTGGCTCTTTGAAGAGGCAGCCTCTGTTGATGACTGGTCTGGTCCACCAGAGAAGAGATATGAGGACTTTTGATGGTACCTTGACCTTGTATTTGGAGTTGCTTTGGCCGGAGCGCTGGTACGGGAGCAGGAACCACTGGAGGGATCTAGTGTGGAGCCGGGCCCAAGGGATGATAGAGATACATGAGATCATCTTGCCTAACAATTTTGATAGTTCCTCTAGGGACACCTTCTTAATGATCTCACCTGATCTCCTTAACTAATTGCTGAAGGCTATTTAGTCTATCTGGTGACAGGTAAACTTTGCCTTCCACCGTATCTATGACTGTCCCCAGATGGGTTAACTGAGTCGATGGTATTAAATGACTCTTTTTCCAATTTATTGAGAACCCGTGCTGTTGTAGGGATTGTAATGTGTTCTGAGTATCTCTGACTGCTTGATGAGCGGAAGATGACAAAATCAAGATGTCAACAAGATAACACTGGAGTCGCATGGGAATATCACGGAGATGAGCAGCTAGCGCTGCGAGGACCTTCATGAAGGTCCTGGGGGCAGAAGCTAGTCCGAAAGGAAGGGCCACATATTCGAAATGGTGGTTATTATAACAGAATCTCAGAAATTTATAGTGGGAAGGCCGAATAGCAATATGTAGGTACGCCTCCATCAGGTCTATGGATGTGAGAATGTCTCCCTTTCTGATGCAAAGTAAGATAGATTGCAGGGTGTGCATTTTAAACTTTTGATATACTAAGAAACGGTTGAGACGTTTCAGATCCAATATTGCTCTCCACCCCCCACCCCCCGAATGTTTGGGAACAACAAAAAGATGTGAATAGAAACCTCACCCTCGTTGGTTGGTGGCTACTGGTTGGATGGCTCGTATGTCCAGTAGGTGTTGGATAGCTGTTTCCATGAGATTATGTTTAACCAGATCTCTGGAGAGAGGGCATGACATGAAAAAATCTGGGGGAGTGGATTGAAACTCCAGCACAAGACCAAATCTGATTGTGTCTCTGACCCAGGAATCAGAGGTTGAGGAGTCCCATTGGTCCGCGAATAATTTAAGGCATCCACCAATGGGGGTCGGGTCCAGGGAGTTATCTTGGATGCCGAAAGGACCTGCTTCCTGCTCCCCAAAAGGATCTCTTGGATTGACCACCCTGTCTGCTCCTATCCCCGAAGTTGGACCTGTCTGGCTGCTGCCCTAGTCTGAATGATGGGGGTCTCTGGTATCTGGGTGAAAAGGGTCCCTGGTAAAAGGGCCGAAAGGATCCCCTCCGAAAGGACTGAGGGTTTCTAGAATCTGACTTCCGAAAAAGGGAAAGAAGAATTTTCTTTTTGTTTCAGGTTTCAATTAGTCGCGGATCAAGGGAAGGGCCAAACAGTCTGTCTCCCACAATAGGTGATGAAGCCATCTTGTATTTCTGCTTAAAGTCCACTTGCCAATGTTTTAACCATAGCAAGCGTCGCGCTGTGATATGTGAAGTAATGGCCCTGGCTGAAAACTTGACTGCATGATAAGTTGCGTCAGCTGAGAATTCAGTGGCTGCTATAAGTTTAGCAATATCTTGGTGCTCTCTAAGGCTGGAATTAGGGACATGTTCCCGTAAGTGGTGGAGCCATCTGAGAGAAGAAGGGGTAAAGAATGAGGCGGCGGTGGCTGCTCTGATGGCCCACACGTCAGACTGATGGGCTTTGCGTAGGGCTAGCTCGGCTCATTTTTCCTCCAGCTTTAATGCCTCCAGCACTTCACTGGGAGTGGAGGAGGACGCTAATCCCACTATAGGTTCATCTACCTCGGGAATATTCAACAATTTTGAGAAATCAAGAGCCAAAGTGAAATATTTCCTGTCATATCCAGTGGGGGCTGGGTACACCGCTGCAGAGGCCCACTGTTTCTGTACCAGGTCCGAAAACATGGGAGGAACTGGGATCACCTCTGCCTCGACTACTGGTTGGTTGAAAATTAGATCTTCTGGTCCCTCTTCTGAAGGAGCTGGAGTGGTAGAAGGGGTCAACTTGTTTAGGCGTGCAATGTTTTTTGCCTTAAACAAGAGAGATCTGAAAAGTTGTGGGCGGAATAAGCCTGTAAAAACAGGTTGGTTAGGAACAAGGCCCTCATCCTCAGACATTCCCCTTTCTAAGGGGTCTGCTTCTGACAGGGGCTCACTGTCATGTATTGATCCTGATTCAATCTCTTCCATTTGATCAATTTGATCCACTTCTTCCTCCTCCTCAGTCGGCCCTTGGAGGGGGACTTCCCCTTGTAAATGTACCTGGGTATAGTGCTGCTCCGACCTGGTCAACGACCTCAGCGATTGGGAATCATAATCAGCGATCACAGGATGTTCCCTGGTCAGAACTGCGTGTTAAAGACCTGCTGCGATTCCCTGGCGGATTGCCAGCTCCATCCAGGCCTTCATCCTCTCTGGAACTTCCTCTGGAAGAATGCGGTCCTGACGAAGACCGGCAGCCATCGGAGTGAATGTAGCTTCGGGAGCCCTTCGCATGGGCGGTGTCCCAGGTACTTGGGCCTGTTGGCTTTGGGGAGCGAAGCTGCACCTGGATGAGAGGGAGAGATCTAGGGGAGGAGGACGGTGGGAAGAGGTAGACGGACCTGGATTGGAGGAGGGAAAGTCCTGTGAGACCTTGTGCGCCTCCCGTGTGCATTTATCTATCTGTCTTTGTAAAGCTTTATGGCGCCTGATGGCATTTCTGAAGTTTTAGAATTCCCTTTAGCCTGCTTAGGTTTGTGCTGAGATTTGGCTTTGACATTCAAGGATGAGGTCTGAGAGCTGCTACCGTCTGCCATTTCGATTGAAGTTGGAATTGCAGTATGCTTGTTATACAATGCAATACTATGAAGGCGGTTGACACGCCCGGGGGCCTGATCTGAGGACAGACCGGTTGCCCTGATGATGTTCTTATTGCCCCCTTTCCTCTTTTTTTAAAAAAATAATACCTATCTATAATGAGTCGTATCTTAGTAATAATATTTTATTGATATTAAAATATTATACCAAATAGATAATTATTATTATTGTTGTTATTATTGTTGTTGTATTATATAACCACTAAAATATATATATATGGCAATATGTATATGAATATTAATTAAATGGCACGATGCTAAGTGCTGAGAAACCAAACAGCCAAATTGAGAACGCCTAAAGGCCCAGATTGATAAGGGTAGAGGCCTTCAACAGCTTCTCTGCACAGGCGGACACAGGCCTAGGTGCTCGCTGTTGTGCTGATGGGTTGATTGGGCTTTGAGGGTTAAGCCAACAAATTAACTGTAGGAATAGCCTCGAATGTAGAAAAAAACCCAAGACAAGGGTATAATGATCCCCAGTGTTCCTCTGCTCGGGACACAATTACCTCACACAGCATGAAATGGAATACAGTCAGCATGGCCACAAAGTCTTTGTAAGAAAAGATGGCCTCCGGCCGTTAATCTTTTGGTGCACTCCCCAGCAGCAAACTCTTGCCATTTGAAGGAATAACCTCCGATGGCTCTTCCTATAAGGCTAAACGGTGGGGAAGGGTGGAAGGTTCTAAGCGTTTGAGTCCTCCACCCCAAGTGGCGTTCAGAGGGGGAAGGAAAGTGATATGACTCCGTAGTGAGCAAAGAGCTCACGCTGCTGTTCGGGAAAAGGAAACTCTGTGGCTATCTGTTGGAATGGCAGGGGTAGAAACATCGGTTGTGGGGAGGGGGCGCGGAGGGGGCGCGGAGGGGGCGTGGAGCAGCGCTGAAGCCTCCCGCTGCTTTGGGGCATGAATTGCCGCTTCCCTGTAGTGCAAGCGATCTCCGACTGCCCGATAAGGAGCCAACGTCGAGAGATCGCAATCCGATTAGAAGGCTAAAGGATTCTAAAGACAAGCTGATTAACTTTCAAACCTGCTAGCAAGGAAATAATTTTTCCTGTTTCGGCCAAGGAAGAATCACAAGCACTGCCTGTCTCTTCACGAGGCTGAGCCAAAACTGGGGAACGCTGGGGATGAGTCCCGTGGAGGAGGAGGAGTGTTCCACAAATTAAGCCCAGCCTAGACATGCAGAGACTGAAGCATCTCCCACTACTGGATGCTCTGAACAGTTCATGGGAGAACCACAACAACACCATGCCACCCACTCACAATCCTTCAAGCCAATCCAAAAGGAGAGTATGGACTGATGATATTGAAAGCCACTGAGAGTCAAGTAGGGCAAGGATGGATGCCTTAACTCCGTCCCATCCATGCCTGAGTCATCCAGAAGTATGACCAATGCCATTTTTGTCCTATAGTCAGGTCTGAATCCTGACTGAAAAGAGACCAGATAATCCACATTCTCCAAGGCCCTCTGAAGCTGTTGCTTGACCACTTCACCACTACCTTTCCCCCAAAAGAGTGGTGGGATCTAGCAATGGCTTCTTGAGAAGAACCAAAGCTTCTTTAAAAAGTAGAGAAACCACTCCCTGACTCAGAGAAACCAGGGATAGAACCCATTCACATGTCACCCATAGGCCACATTAAGAAGTCAGAAGGAGGAGCATGAATCTAGAGAGCAGGTGGATGAAGTGCAATCCTTCCTCAGGTCCAACAGGTTTAAACCATTCCCAGATAACCGGACAAGATTCTTCACTGAGCATTTCTTCTGGACCTGCGAGGCCAACAATCAACTGAGAATGAATGTAAGCAATTGAGGCTGCACAAATTTCTTTGCATGCCTTTATAAGCATTTCTCAGAATCCTCCTTACCCAAGAAGGATCTCTGTCACCCAAAGAAGACTGCAGGGCAACTTTCTGCAGATGAAATAAATACAAATAATTTATTTGGATATTTAAATCTAGCCATTTTTTTAGAAAGATGCATATTCATTAAGTGTATGCATTGCAATAATTTAAATGGTTGGCCATATTAGTTAGATTTATATCCTTTATCCAGAAACAAATGACAACATATTTACCAATCCCTCTTCTGATTTTACCACAAAGTACAAAATCCAGCAAAAATTTCTTTTCAAATCAGGATGGTTCTTACCAGATCAAGACTAAATTCTTTAGGCAGTTCTATCATGTGGGCCAGATAAATCCTTTATCTGAATTAATCCCATCAAAATCTATTTACTGGGCATAGAAAAAAAATGTTTTGTACTAAAATTATGAAATCCATGTTTTTCCACATTTGCCATTTTATTTTTGACAGGCAAAAACTGCTTGTATAACCCTAATGTTTTGTCTTTATTCCCAGTAAAGCTTAATATATATTTTATGACTCTGAGATTAAAGGGAGAAGGGTAAGGAACCATGAAAAGATGACAGTGTCCCAATTTAGGAGTTATACTCACCTATTTTAAACGTACCACACACTACCACAACTTTGTAAATGGATCAACCCAAGATTCAATTATGGCAACCAAGCATTAAAACAAATCCTAATAAAAGCTTGGCAATCAAGTTGCAAAGGTGCTTCTCTTCTGCAGGTAATATTTAGTGCTAAATCACATGTACTGAAAAGTAAGGACTAATACAATAATTGAGGGACCTACCTCCAGGTAAACATAGTTTAAGATATATCGCACAGGATAAAAGGTGACCCTACAGAATGAACTACAATATCAAAAGCCAAAGACAGAAATGAAAGTACTTTCATTCCAATTTCAGAATAAAAATATTTTTAAATTATTTTGACTGCCATATTGCCATTTTTAAAAATCAAATATAAATTGAATAGTGGAAGGCATGTATAAAAAAACTGTCCTAAGTAGCCTGCAGTGGAAAAAATACTATAAAAGAACATCAATGAACAAATGCAAGTGAAAGGTTACATTCCTTTTATAAGAAAGATCATCCTAGTAGGATCTCTACTTCCCTAAATAGAAGATAATAATGCTAAGCATTATCTTCACAAAAGGCAAGAGGGAGTTCCTATAGTATAGGAATGGCCCAGGTAAAGTGGCCTCAAATGCATCCCCATCTCACAATGGGAATAATCACCATCTGCTACACAACTGCAGGAAAATTGAGAGAGAAGGGGGGAGGAGGAGAACACAGTAAATGCAGAATCCCACATTCCAAGAAGGAATTGCTTTAGGGAGCTGAATAAACACTCCGAATAAACCTCCAGAGTTTTTCTGAACCAAAGAATTCTTCCACCTTTTTTTCCTCCCTAGTCATTCAGGGGCAGAACTAGGTCAACTCAATATAGCGTTGCCAGCTTTGAAGCCATTTCCTGTAGCTGTCCTTTCCCAATAAATTGATAGTGACAAGACCGCCTGCACTAAATGCTGGACATCAAATCTCTATTACAGTCACAAGATCCAGTTAGATCTTCTACCAAGTGACCAAGTAATTCAAGATGTAATAGTGCTGTAAGATTAGGAGCCACATATTCATATACGTACCTCTGCAACTAACCGGCACATGATTAGTGTGGGTATATACTATGAATGAGTTGCCATTTAAAATCCATGGAGATATTAAAGGCTACAGATTCTCATCATTAATAGCCAGACTTATGGACACATGCCATTTTGAGGATATATGATCTAGGGAAGATGCTGGGAGGGGATAGAAGTAAGTTTACGAGAGGGCCCAATCTTTGTTTTCACAAAGCCCCCTGCTCTGAAAAGGTTGCCCAGCCTTGCTTTGAGATGAAGTCTATGAGACTACCAATAGATAAAGAACATCAACAAGCTTCTACCAATAGCCAGGAAGATACCACGGATAGTTCTACTGAGTTTTTAATAAATGTTGCAATTGACTCAGATTAGATCTAAAGGTAAAGGTTTCCCCTGTCCAGCATTTCCAAATCTAGGGGACAGAGCTCATCTCTGTTTCTTAGCAAGCATTGTCTGATGACAGTTCTGTGGTCATGTGTGGTTGACTATCCACCGAGGCACAAAGAACACTGCTATTTTCCCATTGAAGTGGTACCTATTTATCTCCTCACATTTGCATGTTTTCGAACTGCTAGGTTTGCAGAAGCTGGTGCAAGTAACTGGAGCTTACCCTATCATGTGGTACTTGAATCTCAAACTGACAACATTTTGATCGACAGCCCAACGTCTTAAGCATCGTGCCCCTTCTAGAATAGATCCAGCGATGTCCTTATAGATGGGGAAAGATCACATTTACTGCCAGACTGTAAAATCATAGAAATCAAGAAATTGTGTCCTATTGTGGAATAAAAATGAGATAAAGAAAGAGTCTAAATGACATTTCCTTACACAGACCTGTAAATTGAAGCAGTTGGTAGACACAATTTCTAAGGAAAGATTAAAATGGAAATCCAAAGGTGGTGATATCTGTGGTAAATGCCGGCCTTTCTCAGCCTGGGGTCTTCCAATGTGCCCACCATCCTGGGAATTTAGGAGTTACAGCTTAACCCCTCAGACTATTTGTGGAAGGCTGATGTACATATGCATGAGAAACATGACGATTACTTCTCCCACTGTTGTCTGTGATCCAGAGATGGTGTTCAGCAGGTTCTGACCAGTTCTGGAGAACCGGTAGTGGAAATTTTGAGTAGTTCAGAGAACTGGCAAATACCACCTCTGACTGGCGCTGCCTCCATCTATTCTCTGCCGAGTCCCAGCTGATCGGCTGGATCTTCTTTTGTTGCCCTGCACAGGAGAACGGAGCTGGAAAGCAGGATAGTGGGGTGGGGAGGAAATGGGAGTTTGCAGTAACCTTCCCCCAGGAGTGGGGTGGGAATGGAGATTTTGCAGTATTCTTCCCCTGTCACGCCCAGCAAGCCACACCCACAGAACCAGTAGTAAAAAAAATTGAGTCCCACCACTGCTGTGATCCCTGTTGTTTTGAACTCCACAAATTCTTGAGGAGTATTAGCTCAGACAACAAGCTGAAATAACAAGGAGAATGGCGCCTCTTTGATTTTGTGATCAACATTCTGAACTCTGGATCATTTATAGGAAACATTAAATTGGGACTATTTCACAGAAAAAAAGTTTTTTTTTTCCTTTAAAAACAGAAAACAAATCACTTCAGATAACCTGTCTGATATAGCACAGTGGTCCTTGACAATTTAAGCATTAATAAAATCATCTCTCTCCCATTTCACACAGAACAAGAATAGTTTCAACACATTCAAATCACCGGCAATAAGTAACATAAAAAAGTCTCTATGTGATATATGTAAAGATTGGTGACCAAAGAATTGAGCAGAAGATAGAACTCCAAAACAGAGAGACCTCGTTTAACTGCTGACAACTTAACAATTGATAAATAAAGTATCAAATTGATTGAGAGACCTTAAAAAATGAAATAAAATCAAATGTAGTAAAAAAAAAAAAAAGATTGCCATTTTTCTCTTTTTCTCCTTGCAAAAGTTTCTAAACTATTTGAAAATGCAGCTCTTTCCGCAAAAAAAAATAAAATAAAACCCACGAATTCATGACATGGGGGTTGTTGTCTTAAGACTTTCAGGCAAACCATTGAAACAAATTTTCACTCCTAACTGAATAGTAGCTCAAAGTCTATCTTTGCCTCCATCAAACTGAAAATTATTTGCCAGATTTCAGCGCAGTAAACAAGTGAAACAGGATGTGGCCAAACGAGCAGAATAAATTTTATTCTGAATCTGAACGGTGCCCACACTCACATTCAAGACAGCGTGTTTCCTTTGCAGGTGCAAGAGGACATTGGAAGACCTATCTACAAAGGTTAGCCATTAAAAGCTTCTGTGACAGCTTCCTGAAGACACAGTTCCACAAAACAACGCGGGCAAAGTCAGATAGAGAAAACTGGGTAATTGCTATTTACATCAGAGAACATATCCAGTAGGACCCTGCAATATTGGCAATAATTCCACTGCATTGGACAATCACAGTGTCAGTCTGTATATGTAGGTTAAAAGTTAAGATGAAATGTTAATTTTTTTAAAGTAAACTATTCCACATGCACAGCTTGGAACTCAAGGACTATGTTGAATGACAACAAGCAAGTTTTATATAACATAGATTAATAGTACAGGTAGTCCTCAACTTACAACCAAAATTGGGACCAGAATTTTCATTGCTAAGTAAGATGGTTGTTAAGTGAGTTACACTTGATTTTAGGATTTTTTTGCCACAGTTGTTAAGCAAATCGCTACAATTATTAAGTAAATGTTATTAATTCCAGCCTCTCCCATTGATTTTGATTGTTGAAAGGTAGCTAGGAAGATGACAAACGATGATCACATGACCCCAGGATGCTGCAACTATTGTAAATACATGCCAGTTGCCAAGCACCCAAATTTTGATCACATGACGTGGGGATGCTGTGACAATGGTAAGGTAATGGTAATGGTAATGGTGTGAGGATTAGTCAAGCCAAGCCCAAACATTTACTATTTACCACTTCCATGTTTTGCCATTCTGTTTGTAATTATAGTAGTTCTACAAGGAGGCTAGAGATCTCATAGAAAACGATTCCCCCAAGCTAATTTCCTTGAGGAAGAACTACAACAATTGAACTCTTACAGGTATAAATGTTACTATGTCGTGAACCTATAACTGAAACATCATAGCCACTCCTAAACTGGTCAACCATAAACCATGGTTACTCGAGTTTGCACAAAGCAAAACCATGCAAACATCATTATGGCTTAGGAATTTCCTAACTGGAACAATTCCAGCATAAAAAGAAGCTCTACCATGGATTCCTTCCATCAAGTCCACGACTTCTGTTAGTACCAAAGAAGTACAAAGAAGTACACCTTGATATGCAACCACAACTGAGCCCAAAATTTATGTTACTAAGTTAAAACATTTGTTAAGTGACATTTGCTCCCTTTTATTACCTTTCTTGCCCTAGTTGTTAAATGAATTGTTAAGGTAGCGACATGGTTGTTAATTGAATCTGGCTTCCCCATTGACTTTGCTTGACACAAGGTCTCAAAAGCTGATCTCATGACCCCAGCACACTTCAACTGTCATATGAACCAGTTGCCAAGTATCGGACTTTTGATCACGTGACAACAGTCATAAGTGTGAAAATGGTCATAAGTAACTTTTTTCAGTGCCATTGTAACTTTGAATAGTAACTAAACCAACTGTTATAAGGACTACCTGTATAACACTGTCATGGAAAAAGGAGAGTTATAGACTAAGAAATAGTAGGTAGAAATGGGGAAAGGGAGCGTTCTAATGACGGGAAAAGTAACATTTACTGCAATTTGAGACTATTTTCTACAGTACAGAAGTGGCCCTCATGATATAGGAAGTTGCTTACTGAAGACTATTCCAGGGAGTACAACAGAAGAAGCAACTATATACAGCAGATAGCATGAGGAAATTTAACTTACAGTAATCTGAAAGACAAATATTTCTCTTTAAGAATATCCTTCACAATTCTTGCTTGAAAGAAATTATGGTATAATAAACCTATTTTTAGAAAAGAATTGCCAAGGAAGTGCTACTAGTCCAGTGGCCAGATAAGACATTTATATGAGCGTGTCAGGACATCCTTAACTAACCTTGACAGCTGGTGCTATATAAAGTTTAATAAATGACTACTCATTGGGTGATAATTTTGTCACATTGTAATGCTTTGATCCTAAATAGAAAGGAAGGTAAGAATGACTCTGAGGTTTGCCTATCCAAAAGCAGGAACTAAATATTCTTTTCCTCCTCAATGATGGTATATATTGGGCAACCCAAAAATGTTAATTGTTTTAAGGATATCTTTTGAATATTCAGACCTTAGAGGGATCCATTCTTCCATGTATGAAGCATTGCAATGTTGGCATATAACAAAGGCAAATGAAAAAGAACACCACAATAATTCATATCTTTAGAAAGTGAGTCTGTGTCATATACCTCATAATGATGGAATGGAAGGAGCAAGAAAATGTATAAAGACTTCCTCTTGACCATGAGCTCCAGTTGCTGCTATGTCCATTTCTTTCTTGGTCCAGTTTTCTGCCTATGCACCATTTCATTTATTCTTCTGCATTTAATGCAGGGTTGTCCTTTCTTGCCTACCAAGCTTGTGGAGATGAAATTAGGGATGCTTCTCTTTCATTCTCACCCTCTGTGAGCTTCCTTCATTCTCTAGTTAATAGTCAAACCTGAACCAACAGCAGATTGTATCTAGTTGTCTTCCTTAGTCCTCCCTCCTCACTTTCACAATAAGAAAACGCTAGAAATCTCTCTGGTTTGATTTGTGCTACTTATTTACTTAAGTAACAAGTAGCACAAATAAGATTTGGAGACATGTGCAATAGCAAGAATTTCATCATGAGTAATGGAATGTTTATGGATTTCCCCTTTCTTTTTTTGCTACAGCTCAACCAAAAGTCTGTAGAGATTCTCAGTCACCCAGGTCTTGGCTGTCCCAAAGGTTTTTTCAGGAGGCAACTGGACTTTTTTCTTTGAAGACATTTTGCTTCTCATCCAACACCTTGGATGTTGCCTTCAGTTGTCTTCTGAAAAAGAACCTTTGGGACACAGCGCAACCAGTTTAAATTTTCCCAGTCACTACTTTAATGGGGAACTCAGAGCTGTTGAAGAAGAGGCCAAGGAATTTTTTTTCCCCATCCGACTGATGTAGGAAACAACCCTTGGAAGTGGCAAACAAAAACAGGAAATATCTCTGATTGTATGTAAATTAAATAGGAGGAGTTGCTTAGAATATTCAAATACCCCAACTGGTTTTCAAAGTGCTCCAAAATGATACTGTATAAACTAAATATTGTTTAGGTTGTTTTTTTTCCATTGCCTTAATTGATTTACATTGTTTTACTAGAACATGTTTGCTTTCTTCTCCTTCAGTATTCTATGAATAGGAAAGTAAGATACTTTGTTTAGTAGGGTAATTTGTTTAGTGGGGCCACTAAACAAAATTAATACATACAACCATTGAGATTCATATTACATTAAATATGCCTTAGCCTCATTGAAATCAGTTCCATAAATGAGTTACCATTACACAACAATGACCCCAGTCTTGCTGGCATTTCATTAGAGTTTTAAATTTTGGCTGTGAACTGAGCCTTGGGCTCTGAATGTGCTAAGGGCCCCCACTTTGGGACTTTACTATTAATTGGCTAATTATCTCAGCTGCTGTATATATTTATTTTGGATGTTTCTTTTGTTTTTATAGTTTTAGACTTACAAGGTGGTTGAGATGGGTGACTGTAAAGAATGAATGAATGAATCAGAGGTGGTATTCAGCAGGTTCTGACCAGTTCTGGAGAACCGGTAACGGAAATTTTGAGTAGTTTGGAGAACCGTAAAATACCACCTCTGACTGGAGATTTTACAGAATCCTTCCCCTGCCACGCCCACCAATCACAGAACCGGTAGTAAAAACAATTGAATCCCACCACTGGAATGAATGAGTGAATGAATGAATGAATGAATGAATGAATGAATGAATGAATGAATGGGAGAAATTAAGTTTATCCCAAAGCAGTGTTCTCCAGGTGTGCTAGGATTATAGCTTCCAGAATTCCAGGCATCTTGATTAATGAATTCTAAGAACTGTACGACCAACACACCTGGAGGGCACCAGGCTGCTGAAAGATGGATTAAAATG